AACCCAAACCAGCCTGTGATTCTAAAAGTTCTGGCCTCCGCAAGATCCCCCGTCAATGAACTCCCCGAAGCAGATGAAGTGCCCTTAGCACTGCACCCAAACTTCTGCACGTGGCAGCCCCTACTGACGCTGGTACTAACATCTTCCTCCCTTCCCTCGCTCTCGCAGACCTCCTTCCACACCACCTCGCACGCGTTTTCAAATATTCTGGTGCAGTGTGGCATGTACAGAAATAACGGGCTCAACACCTCCCTGGAGAAGAGCCACGTCACCGGCCCAGGCAACTTCATCACCGCCTACGACCACTTCAACTTCCACCCCAGCTACAACCCAAGCAGCCCCTCGCACTGTTAGACCCGCAGGAGCAGCGATGACGATACGAACCCGCTTCAGTTCACTGCTGGCTGCCTAGATAAAACCCCCAAACTGTAACACGAGCAAGCAAACCACAGCACTGACCTCATCCTGACCTATTGCTGAGCCTCATCTGCAAGCACAAGCGGAGGAACTACGCTGTCGCTGTAGCTGCTCAGCCGGCGGCAGGCTGCTTCACGGAGAGCAAGGCTGGTTTCTCTTACACCCGTCCCGGACAAAGCACTCTTCCTCCAGCACTTGGTTCCAAGTTACCTCTTCTGACCGCAGACTTGGGATACCACGGCAGAAACAAACGGCAGCGGGCAGGGAATTCAGTGGCCAAGCAAGCCGGTACGAAAGCCGTGTAGTTGAGACAGAGTCCTGAACTTAAAATACTGGGTAAAAATAAAATTAACGGACTCGTACCTTGTTAAGGCCAGAAATTTAGCCCTGGGGGAGCAGCGGTTCAAGTCTGTGTTATCAAAAACGAGTTCAGTAATTTGTTGGGAGAAAACACATAAAGCCAGTTTGGTACTAGCTGAAAACCACTAATTTACAGAATGAGCGTTATTAGCAATAGTATCTTAATTTATAAAGATTTAATGTGATGAAGTGTCAGTTCAATAGCTCATATGAACCATCTGAATTTCTAGGCAGCACGTAGTTGTAAGTACTAGACCAATATAGATTACATATACATACATTCACTTAACCTTTTCTCTGTCACTAAGGACCCTTTAAACTCGTCTCATGTACCACGTATCATTAAAAATTAAGATTTTAAAACTGTTTCTGTACTATTTAATAACCAAACTGCATGTTTTCCAGAGCTGTTCATTAAGCCTTTGGATTTCTTATAGCAAGCATGTTCATCTTCCTTACCTCTCTAAGCTACAATGCTTTAAGAAATCACTCTAAGACAGACAACTCATCAAAAAGTTAAGTTTTATTTAACTTTTCCAAGTAACAGCTGTAGTTCCACAGCCAGTGAAACTGCAGCATTTAGACGGTAACTACAAGGAGACACTGCACCAAAAGGAACACCTTAGCACGTGCTGCCTGCAAACTCGTCTTGAAGAGAAACCAGTCTGCCAGTTTATGGAGGAGAAATGGTCCCACCTTCGCTGAAAACACACCAATACCCTGGCACAAGGAAACATACTAAGCAAAAATGGGCCTGAAAAGTGAACTTTTAAAATATTTAAGACGTGAAAATAAATAAGCAACACTATCATTCACTGCTGTTCTGCTATTCGACGCTAGACAATACCTTGAGCTTCTCGTAACTTCCCTTTCTTCTCCTGAAACAAAAAATAACATGAAGCGCTGAATTAATACAAACAGTTGTGACAACTTTCATATATTCTTACCCACAGATTTTTCTGCAGGTGGACTAATTTAGGGATACGACTGCCTCTTAGACACAGAAATTTAGCAGGTTTTGTCACATATTTTCCATGTTTTCATACTTCATCTAAAAACACCCACCTCTTTTCTTCCTTGCCTTTATTTCTTCCGTTTTTTTGTTTTATTCTTGAACTGAGACCAGCTCCCTTGAAGCGTTTTGCGTGCAGCGTACCTCACGTCACCCCCGCATAGACTGTCTGCTGAGGTATGCTGGAGTAAGGTTACCCAATTCCCTCCCACCGAGGTTCACTGAGAAGGGAACAATACACGAGCTTTGCTGGCAGCCAGCTCCCATTTTCCTTATGTTTGCTCTCGCACATTTCCCTATTTTAGTGTGATTAAGAAATACTGACCTATTTGCTCAGGTGTTGGAGACCCAATACACTTCCCTTTAAGAAACACCTGTACAAATTCAAAATATCATCCTGAAGATGACCCATTTTACCACAGAGAATCTATCTACCTCAAAGGGCCTCTTTCTGCTTTGCGCATTTGCAGATAGAAGTATGCGAGGCTGTAGGATCAAACCAAGACAAACTGCCCTTTTTAAAGGTCTGAAATATTGAAAAGCACATACATTAATAAAAGAGATGGCGGCGGAGATGGCGAGCTCCTTCCTGGAGCTACACGTCAAAACTCATGCTCTGAAAATAGCAGCAAAGAACAGTTTATAAAAAATTTAGGTGGTGCTTGTGGTCCCCTGAGGACCCTTGAAGATCCTGAAGCTCGGAAAAATAAGTCACCGTGATAAAATAAAGCAAGGTACCTATTTTCCTAGTCCTGAGCAAGCACAGCTTTATCTGAGAACTCCGGTATTCCAATCGGGATGCTGTAGCTTGCCACTAGCTGTAATAAAATATGCCTCGTAGTTTAATAAATTAACATCCAAATTAGCAAGTTGTGTGCTCTGGCAGGGAAAAAGAAGTGTGTTTTTAAAAAATGTAAACCAGCACTCACTAGAAAAAACCCAAAAGTAATTCCTTCCAGGCTTGTGTAGATCCGAGTACATGGTTCCACGCATGTAACTGCTGCAATAGATAAGGGATCAAATTAATGCCTCAGGAGGGCTGAAATAATGGAGAAAGGAGCTTGTTCTGGGCACTCATCAGAGCCTTTTCAGCTGTCACGGAGAGCGGAAGGGTCAGGAGGGGTGTGTGGTCCGTGCCTACTCTGCAGTTGGCTGCCTGTTATGATCACTATCAACAGGAAGGAAAAAAAAAGGTTTTGGTACTGCACCCATCCAGACGGGACCTCAGGAGATTTGTGCTGCAACCCCAAACTTGGTACCACACACGTAGGACTTTATCCTCACTGTCTTTCTACTCCTCAGCTGTTCAGCCCGTAATCTGTAGTGTGTAAGAGCCATTTCTTACTGCTCCAAGACACTGGAGTTCTCTGTTGGAACGAGCGATGAGAACTGTACCCAGAATGACGATACTGCCAGTGCAGCCATGGCACTCTTCCTACAGCCCCAGCACCAACGCCAGGGATGTCTGTTGACATGCTATTTAGAGTTACACGCTCTGGGGTGCTTGCTCCTCCTTGGCAGGTCAGCAATTCCCATGGGACAAAGTCTGGAAAAATTACTTGCAGAGACCTAAGACAACCGGGAGGACTTGGAGGGAGAAGGGAATACCCATAGCACAGTGGTACAGCAACACCACGGGTGACAGGATGGTTTGAACATCAAGACAGGTCCTCCCGCCCACCCTGAAGACTAGCTCAGGGTCTCCTAGGAGAACACAGGAAAGCGTGTTCATCCCATCTCCGCACCATCAAGGGTTCCCACGCTCACTACCTCCGGTCTTCGACAGCGGGGCAGAAAGGATCACGTGCTCATCATCCTGCAGGGGATGCCCTTTAGAGATACACCACGTGCTTTAACTGACAAATGTCACCTCCTGAGCTCTGCCTCAAAACCGAGGAAACCCTCGTGCTACTAACGGAGAGGGCAAGCACAAGGAAACGCCACTCTTGACCACAAATGCCAGGAAAGAAAACCACTGTAAGGGTTTTGCTAAAAGTACAAAACCCCTTCTCACCCCACAGAATAAACACAACTTTGGTGACCTCTACGCTTTGGAGATTCTCATCCTTCGTTTCTTGTTTTCAAGAACAATATTCCCTTAAACCAACGCATCTTTAAAGACGTGGGTTCTGCTTCACAGTCACACGGAAATCACACGCTATTGTCACACGGGGGGTTACAGTCTCAGAGGGGGGTGGCTGAAGGCAGTCTGAAGTGAGATCCTGCTCCCCGGCTCAGCTAACACAAAGGCTGTGATTGCCTTCAAGGGTGACATCCTTTACTCCCAAACGCTACTGCGCAAGCTAACTACATCTTCCGACCACTGAGGAGAGGAAAAAAGGTAACACAAACCCACTACTCACTAAAGATGACGACACAAATCATAGGAGCACTCCAGTTTCACGGTCCAAGCTCAGAACCCCATTTATTAAACGTTATAAACTTATCAATGTACACCGTTTCCTATATACAAATCAAGTTTATCAATTTAAAAAAAAAGTGCTGTTTGAAATCAGATTTTATTTAAAGCACAAGGTAATGGGATTTGCATCTTAACTGAACCCGTTCACGAGCAGTATTGAGAACACAGACACATCGACGGGGGCACGAGACACCTCTTAAGCCTTAATGCTGATTTACTGAAAACTTAGAGGAGAAACATTCAGCTTATTTCATACAAACAGTACATAGTGCTTCCATCATCTCTAGTAAAATTAAGTATACAGTTTAATCCTTTTAAAGCAAGGTACTCTGAAAACTTCTATTTTAAAATACCAGCCTATTTACCTATTCCAAACAAAAGGCCCAAATCCTGCAGCTGAATCAAGGCAGACAAAAATATATGCCTGTGTAGACAGACTGCAGGCACGTGAGCTAAGTAAAAAAACCACTTTTCCAAGGTATCCTACCACAAAAATGAGATGATCTAGCATACGGAGCTCTTAAACAAACCAACCAACCCAAGGACTACAAAAAGGTGGCTGGACAGTAAGAAATGTCAAGTGACCACTATAAACATGTTCAAAATGTAACTGCACAACAGTATAAACACACAAAGGATGTTGTTCGTTTCTCTACATGCCACGGCTACTTGTTCTACTCCACGCGACACCGCAGGTCGCCAGTGTTCCACAAACTGCGGTCAGGCCACGGGGATACAACGCGACGCCGGATGCGGCCTCGACTGCTTTTGCTCCATCTTGCAAAGTTAAGGCCAGCCTCCAGGAAGACTGCTGAAGCGGTGGAGAAACCAAGCGACACTGAGTGGTAGTTTGGCTGAGAGAAGTTCAGTAGAAGACTAGATAAAGACAACATCGGATCGAGTCACAGGGACAAGGTGCAAGATCAAACTACTCGAAGGACTTCACACGCATGGAAAGGAAAGAACCACCCAACAGCTTAAATTCACACACTGCAGGTTTTTCAGTGAAACCAGTGTGGGGGCACTTTGTTGCCGATATGAACGTGCTACTTCAATCCCATCTAAAGTTAGTACAAATGTAAAGATAGTAGTGAAAAATCACTTTGTTCCGGCTGCTGGAATCAGAGGCATAGAAAGCGCTACCAGTAGGAAAGAACAGTGCTGAAAATATCCTTGGCGTTGGCATTAGGGACTTCCTACAAGTCTAGCTTTGTTCTATTGCACAAGAATTGTAAATGGAAAGTTCACAGAAACGTAACATTTTAGAAACCACTTTTGAAAAAGGAAAAGTAAGGGCACTCAATTCAAGGAAGTTTATTCCGAAAACCAAAAGCCATCTCTGGGTAACTGCAGGGCACCAAAATCAGACTGGAGAAGAACAAGGCATTGTTTCAGCCTGGCAGACCCAACAGTACATAAATCCAGCGAAACCCACAGAAACCACGCTGTCTGACACACGCTCCTTCTCTTTTCTCCAGCTGCATTCACACTTGGAATCATCTGCTAGCGGGAGGTTCCCAGTATTCAAAGGGTACTTCCAGCAGCTGCTGAGGTCGCCTTACACAGGATGCGCGGACAGACTGATCCACCTTCCGTACCCCAATTTCCGTTTCCATCTTCAAGGCTGGATCTCCACGCCTACAGCCGCGCTGGAGTTCTGCTCCCCCAGCCCAACAGCCCTTGGGGCGGGAGAACCGAGACTCTGTGGGCTTGTCCTAAGGCAGCGCGAACGGGAACAGATGTCAGATAATCCCCTTCAAGAGCACAGCACTGCCGTCAAATGCTGCGTTTTCCTAGGATCTTCTAACGGATTGCCAAATATATCCTGCGCACAAACAGGTTCTCTTTTGATACATGATTAGAGGCCTCATAATTTAAAGTGTGATCAGTCAGCATCTTCTTATCTACAGTAACTACAGCCTCCTGTAGTAATGCAAGCCCTAAAAATCATTATAAAAAATATTTCCTTAGAACACTTCAAATAATTTACAAAATTCTACAAAAACTCTGCATGTTTGTCCATGATATCCCTGTTCAATAGAAGCTTTTTTCACATTAGTGTGTATATGATATACAGACTTCACCATCTCCCGCTGCCTCTCACGTCTCAACTTTTATCAAGGTAATTACAACGAGAGTTATTTTCTAAAAAGACTGTTACTGTATTAAAAAAAAGTGTACTTACATATTTGAAACCTTTCTTTTTGAGAGGGAATCTGGGCACTCCCCTGCAGGTACGTCAGTAAGTCTGGCACAGGTTTTGCCTAAAACATCCTGCCCCTGGTCCACTTCACGAGCAGTTTCCCTATTCTGCAAGACTGGTATTTTTCCTTCCAGACTGGAGCTGGATACCTGAATTTCTTCCTGCCTCTCACTGTCCTGGCAGGTAACCTTTTCCTTCTTAACGCACATGTTCAGAGTGATACTTGTGCATGTTCCTGTACCAGTTTTATCCAGTGCTCCTGTTGTCACACTGAGTTCCTGCAGCGGGCAAGCTAAACCTGGATCTGGCCTGTTGTCCTGCTGGCTTTGCCCTTCCTTCCTGCACGTGTGTACACCCTGCTGAGGTGTGACTCTGCTACCCTTATCTGCCTTTACCACTCCCACACTGTGTTTGGGGTGTGTGGGATCCAAATTTGAATCGGCCCAGCTGTCTCTGAGACCGTCTCCTTCCTCGATCCGCACCTGTGTGCTCTCAGCTCTGGATGTTCCTCTGCAAACCTCATCTGCTTTGCTTGCTGCCACACTCCGTTCCTGCACGGGAAGACTCGCGCGCGCGTCTGCCTGGTGTCCTGAAGCATCACCCCTTCTGCAGCCCTCTGCTTCCTCTCTGATACACAAAGGAGCAGCCTCCAGTCTTTCACAGGTTTCTGCTACGTGGGGACTTGACGCTTCCAGCACGAGCTTCTGCGAAGAACTGGACTCGTTTATGGCCGTGCTACTCCCCCCACTAAACTCGCCTTTTGGCAAGGGGGCTCCTCTTCCCTGGTCAAGCACGCCTGTGTCCTGGGAAGCTGCCTCCGTTCCTAACGCGCTGCTCTGGGCCAGCAAACACTCTGCTTTCTGCCTTTTGTTCAAAAGCATGGATTTCTTCCTGTCCCGAGCGTATTTTAGTCCTGCAATAAACTTACTCGAAATTTTTAGGTGAAAGGTATTTTTCCTTTTAGGTCTAGGCTTTGCGTTAATCACTTTTCGTACTTTATAACCTTCATTTTTGCTGGTTTTAGCGGGAAACACTTTCTGCACAGGCTCTGTATTAGGGCCATCCTTTTTACCTGTTGTATTTCCAGATAACTCCCCAGCAGCAATACCTTTCACACTCCCCACCCCCTGCTTAGCTTTTAACTGACCAGTAGTATGAAGATTAACATTCTCCGCAGAGGAAGCACATTTTCCACTGCCATGTAACATTGCACTTTTCCCTTCCGTTCTCGGAGAGTTCTTCACCTCCTCAGTTTGCTGAGACACCTCAGCCTTTCTACTCTGACCCAGCGTGAGGTCAATCTCATTTTCAACCGGCTGGTGCTTTGCTTTTCCTTTAGGACCAGTTTGTTTGGTCACTCTCAATAGGTCCAGAGTTGCATCGTCTTTCTGTATCTCTGAACTGCCTGCAGAGTCTTTAGCCTTTTCTGCCAAGAACTTCCTAATTTCTTGTTCGATGCTGTCATCGCTGTCCACCGAACTGCTGTCATCAGCGTCTGATGCAGCCGCCAAAGTACTTCTGCTATTTTTAGCTACTCGCGGGTTATTCGGGTTTGAAACTGGTTTAGGTTTATATCCTTTTTTAAGCTGTAAATTGAACTCCTCTGTTTTTTCATTGGTAAGTCTGACGTTTATGTTGTCTGGAGGATTTCGGGTTGCATTCTCTTTCACAGCTTTTCTAGGTTTTGAGAGGCAGCTTTTCAGCAGCACGGGATTTTTACATTTCCAGTCACTTGGTTGGAGGCTACTAAATTCATCCAGCAGCTGAGTTGCTGTCTCACTAAACCTGACTCTCTTCTTGCACTGAGATTTCTGGTCCTTGGACTTCTTCTTTAGCTTTCTTTTAGACCGTAAAAGGTCCTTGATAGCACTATCAAGGTCCTCATCGCTATCCAGAGAACTGCTCTCATCATCTGAACCATCCCTCTCTTGGGCTTGGATGGGAGCTTTCATAAGCTTTCTTGCGCCACTCTGAACCTGCATAAAAGGGTTTACAGTGTCCAAGGCCACGCACCTGCCAACGGATCCAGGTAATTCGGAAGACATCAGCTGCTGCTGCCTAGTCTCTTTACTACCAAGCCCCTGAGCATCACAGAGCTCTGCGGGGCTGCTCAGCGCACACTCCTCTTGGAGCACAGGAAATTTTGAATAGTTACCTGGCTGGAAAAGTCCCGTCTCCAGCTGTTCAGGTGTTTTAGATGCACCCTGTTTCGCCAGTCTGCCTTCCCTTTTAAGTCTCCTTTTACGACTCAGTGACAGCTTCAGTGTTTTGGGAAGAGAAGGCTCAAGGGTACCGGGAAGGCTGTTCTGATCAGAAGGCAAAGGCATCTGGATTGAGTGTGACAGGCTGGGAGGCTTTGTTCCAAGGTTTTCCGACTGTGCTTTCAGAGCCAAAAAAGCCCTGATTTCTTGCTCGATACTATCATCGCTGTCCACAAGGCTGCTGTCGCTTTCGCAGCGGGAAGATGAGAGAAGCTGGGGAGAAAAGAAGGAGTCTGCAGCGAGCGATGTGTTGTCACTTCCCATTTGGGATGGCATGATTGTTTTGGAAATATCAAGGATAGCTTCCGCACACATGAGTTCTGCAGATGTGTCCGCTCTGCAAGAAGCCTGCAACGTGAGCTCACAAGCAGCGATCTTGTCTTCCGCAGGTGCAAAACGTCTGGCCTTTTTCAGTGGTTTAAACAGCTTGTGAAGTTCATTGCTGCTGCTTTCTAACTCGGTTGACTTCGAATTAATTTCTTTTCTCTTGTTGCTTATAGGGCTTTTATGGGTTTCTGGTGAGGCACTTTTTGTTGAGCTAATAGTCAGGCTTCCAGATATGTCTGCCATTCCCTTCGCATCAAATTGTTCTCTCCGCAAAGGGACGGAGTCTGCAGCGTGACCTGCCTCTTTCCTGATTTTCTCCAGCTGATAAAGCTGAATGGCTTCTTCAATGCCATCGTCGCTGCTTGAGTCAGATGTGTGCATGCTCTCGTTCACAAGCGCTCCCCTCGTCTCCCAGTAATTAGCACCGCTTCCTTCGTTTTGCTCCACTAACCAGGGCTGGCTGGCAGTGGCCATTTCCAGGTACGCTCGGTTCACCTGGCTGAAATCACTCGGCTCTTCTTGGATTCTGGACTGCGCGCCAGTTTCCTGGAGCCTGGGATGGTGTCTCAAGAGGAATGCGTTACAACCTTGCTTTATAGCACCACAGTTTGTTTTGTTTGGTGTTTCCTTGTTGCATTTTAGGACAGATCTCAGATGGGAATCTTTTTTATCCTCCCCAATCACACACTTACTAATTTCTTGCTGCTTCTTCTCATTCAGGAACTGCACTATTTCAGCCTGTATGCTCTGTTCAAAAGAGTCATCGCTACTGATGCTCTGAGGGGAAGCGGGCTGCAGCCTTTTACCAATTCCCAGGTGGTCAGACAGGTACTCTTCAGAGAGCATCTCAGCTTTAAATTTCACAGGCAGAAGGTTACTAGCCATTTTGTTACGGGATAATTCTCTCTTAAACCTTTTGTCACTGCTTATATTCTCAGAACACTCTGCGTTCCTTTGCAATGACTGGTCACTTTTGCTTTTGGCTTTCAAATACTCTTGAATGGCTTCCTCTATACCTCGGTCAACAGAATCGTCGCTATCAGATTCCAGCAAGAGAGTCCCAAACCCCACGTTCTCCTCCGCTTCAGCGTCGTCCAAATCGGCAGGGCATCCACACTTGGTGTACTGAGGATGCTTCCGCAGCAATGTGGTGCTAGACGTGACTCTGTTACTGGTGCCCTTTTCTCCCTTTTGTTTCCTTTGCATAATACAATCATACTCATTGTTCATACCCAGGGGAGACTCTTGACTTTGCAGGTTGTTTATGATCATCTGAACTTTTGCACTTACAGAGGTTCTAGTGTCGCCCCCTTCAGATTCAGAGAAGCAAACGGGGTATCTACAATTCCTTGCTGGTCCAAAGGACTCCCATTTTGTCTGAAGAGCTACCAAAGGAGATGCATTCATAAGGAACATTCTAGCAGACAACAGCAAGGTCCACAACGGAACAGCTTCTCAGACCGGTCTCTCTTCCATCCTACAAAAGAGAGAAAAGAAGTTTTTATGACGCATCCACCCTCTAGAAATTCCATGTGATAATACTGGTAACAGAAATGGTAAATAATTAACACTCGGGCTTGCTGTGCCAGATCATCACAAGAGTTACTCCTCAACATCACTTTAACAGGTGAAGAACCACTGACAGCCCTGTGCGCAGGTGTGTGCGATCCCCTTCCGCACCAACGCTGCCTGAGCGTTTTTGCAACAAACGCCGTGGCAGGAGAGAAAGAACAACCGTAAGGGAAACTTTCCTAACGCGGTGGAACTGGTGGGAGCGGAGAACCCTGCAAAATATTCTGCTCCCTGTGTTTCTTTTGGCATAACTGCCCTTTTTAAGGAACTCCAGCCACGCATAGCTCAGCTTTTCAGTTTTACAACAAACCCAACGTTGGCTATGCCCACACGGCGTGTGATGGGCGGATGTGAAGCAAGTCTCCCCTGGTCCGAGGTGGTGGAACACAAACCGACTCTGACTCAAAGAGCAGAGTAACTCTGTTAGTGTGCCCAGGCACACCAGCCCCCGACAGCTTTCACCGGTTCTGGCGTGGCGTTAAGCACACACAACTGAGAGACTTGGGGCAGCTCAAAGAGAAGAGAAGGCAGCTCATTTCTTCCTGAAACATACCATACAGCAGTAACCCTGAGACATCAATCACTCTGGCCTCACTGCAAGACAAAAGCTCTTGCTAAACACAAATCTGTAGGAGTTTGCAAAAGCAGGACGAAGATATGAACTATTCTTTGTATTATAGTAGAAAACTCAAACAGAATGAAGGCCTGGAATAGTGAAAAAGCCATCCAGAAAATGCCAGATAACACCCCCTACAATTCACAACTTCCACGCGGTCCCACGAGGGCCGAAGGTTTCACCTGCAGCATCACTGGGTAGGATCAAAACAGTACCTGGCTGGCGCAGGGCATACAGCAGCCCCAACAACCACCACAGCGGCTGGGCGGGTTCTCGAGCCCGATGCGCTCTCCCACACAAACCCAGGCAGCCCCGACTGCAGCGCGGCGCTCGACTCCACCGACCTGCAGACATGCTTGCGCCTCTGAATCCCCTCCGACCTCGCCCTTGACAATTACTCTCTAGGTCTGGTTTCAAATTAATCAGTGGCAGTAAATATTTTAAAAGAATTAATGATTCTAAACTCTTCAGAACTTGTTAGTATATTCATTTGCTACTAAAAGGTAACAGACAACCCGTAAGACAATTCTGTGTCAGTTTTAAGAAGAGCATGGCGTGCCAACCAAGAACACAGTGTGACGCGACACACGCTTTTGTCAGAATTACCGTGGGACCCGTGCTCAGGGAGCAGCTTTACTGACATCTTGTTGGTAGACTAGAAAATTCTTGAATTTCTAGGCAG